CAGCCAGGGAAGCCTGTTGGATGAGGGACAAGCCAGGCCTGTGGGCCGAAGGCCTTGGGGACGTGGTAGGCGGATCCTAGGACAGCGGCCTGGGCACCTGCAGCCCGGCCGTCAGAGCCCTTCCTGCGGGCAGGGCAGGGGCGTGGCGTCTTTGACACCCATGTCAGGAGAAGCCCCTAAGCGGAGCCTGCCCTGGGAAGCAAACGCCGTACTGCCAGTTGGTTTAAAGAACGCACTGTGACCCTGGCCTGTGGTGCATGCAGTCCGCCCCTCACGCTGCCCGGGAAGCCTTCACACGGCTTAGATCCATTTTCCCAGAACTTTCGAAAAGCCTCCTGCTGGTGATTTCTGGACTAGCTGGTAAGCTGATGTTTCAGCTGCTCCAGAGACACCCCCCGCCCCCCGCAGCCCCTCCCGGGAGCAGCGTTGTCAGCTGTGTGTGACACGGTGACATCAGGGGTTGTCCGGTGGCCTCACCGCTCAGGAGGTGCTGGTGCCACCCCAGGCACGGGCCCCTGGAGAAGGTGCTGTGGCACTGTGTGGAGCAGGCGGGGGTGTGGAGGCAGTCCTGGGGCACAGTGTCTTCGAGGACAAGAAGGCTGGGGTGTTTCAGGAAGAAGACAGTGATCTCGGATCACCCGTGTCCCGGGAAGGGCTAGACTGGGGAGCGCCGGGCAGAGCTATGAGAGCGAGGGCGGGTACCCGGAAGTTGCTGAGTTAGGGCAAGTGCAGTTTTGTGGCAGGAGGAGGCATGAGCGGGGGGTCAGGATGAGAAGTTTATAGGAGAAACCAGGGCTCCGAGAGTAGTTAATTCACAGGCTTGAGGACCCGCTCAGTCGAAGCCATTGGCACCTTCTCTGGATAAAGCTGATGCCGAGTTCTGGGGCCCCCACATTCTGGGACCCCCTGTGCACCTGTACATGCCTCCCTCATTTGAACTTTAAAACGACCCATCACTTACACTGAGACCTTTGCTGCACAGAGACCCGTGCACATAGCAGGTGCCCAGTAAGCGTGTGCTGACCGGGCACCGATCCCACACAAGCCAGAGCAGGGCCACCATCTGGGGCTCAGAGACCGCCGTTTGCCCTTCTTTTCAAGGGCACTCCCTGCAACTATCACCTACACAGCCGGGGATTTTAGGTTTGGGACTTGGACTCCTGGTTCTCCGGCTGAACAAGAGTGACCCTCTGCACTCACGGCTACATCCCCCACCAAGCTCCCTCAGACGACAAGGATCGCGCCACATTGCACGGTCTTCTGAGACAAACCAACGGGACGCAGGGTGACACAGCGGGGACTCGTCACGTGCGGGAGAGACCCCGGAGAAGACGGCAGCTACGTGTCTGGAACACAAGGTTGGACCACATCATGGGGGGCGTGGTCTGAAGCCGGAGCAGAATGAACAAAACCCGCAGACAGCGGCACCACGGAATCCGTCCACGACACGGTTAAGATTCCTTTTCTCCAACAAGGAGGAATAAACAGGAAACAGTACCAGTCCCCAGGCCTTCTGCGCATCCTCGCCTGCGTTCCAGACGAGCACCACGGGCCCCAGGGCGCTGGCTCAGCTCTGCGGGGCTCGGCGGGCAGCCAGGGGTCCCTGTGCAGGCGGGGAGGGCCCTCCCTCTGCCACCGTGTCGCTCCAAGCACGTGGGTTGTTACACGTGGGAGTTGGTGGCGGGAAAAGCAGTGTCCTCCCAGGAAGGCTCTAAGCGGACCGGGTGGAGTGAGGGCCCGTCCCGGCGTGAGGCGCTCCCCGGCGGGGGCCGGAGAGCAGAGCAGGTGCGCCGGGGCTCGGCGGTCGCCACGCAAGCTGCCCACTGCCCGTGCGGCAGCCCCGGCCTCCGTGCGCCGCCGTCTCCCCACCAGCCTGGGGGCTGCTCGGCCTCCGGTGCGCTCGCTTCCCCAAAGCCGGTCTCCTAAGGTGCCCTTCCGCAGGGACACACCCCGAACGGCAGGGCGTTCATGAGACGCACACGCCCGCAGAGCCACGTGCTCCTAAGCATTTATTCACCAGACGTGAAGCACAGCGTCGTCTCTGCTGAGACACAAACGGGTGCCTTGGGCTCAAATTCCCCTTCCGTGTGTCCTCTCTTCCAAACCTGGGACGCTTGGAAACTCACCCTCGGAGGAAGGGACGCAAGTCCTGACCTTTCTCCAGTCTCGAACGTCTGCCCAGGGAGTAAAGAGGGTGAAGATACAAACGGCAAAGGACGAAATGGCCGCCTGCCCATCAGAGAACGCAGGAGAGAGAGGAGAGTGAGGCTACGCCCCGGCGCACGTCTGAACGGAGGCCGCGGCAGTGAGGAGCCGGCGAGTTATGGGTCATGTTCTTCTTACGGGACAATCACGCATACAGACGCCCTTAGTCTTTTAAGAGTGGCATCAGATTCTTGTCAATTAATAGCTCGTCTATTAAGGCTTAGGCTGAGATCTGGTGAAATCTTGCCCTAGAGAATCCCAAATTACCAATTAATCTGATAAGAGAGGCGGAAATCTCAATCTCCCCCTGCCGAAGGGAGGGAGCGTAATCCCGCGGTGACAAACAGAAAGAACTATTGATATAAAGCTGTTTTATCTGCACTATATATCTCCCATCCAACTGAGGCAGCAAAAGAAAGAGGGAAATGGGCCGCGATAATGATTCTGTCTTTGACCCATGCTTGCAGCAGGTAAACGCTCAAGTCCCAAAGGTCTGGCCCAGGAAAGCTCCACAGGAAAATAAACTGTGAATGCAAAGAAAAATCCGGCCCTGACAGTGGCTTTGTTTTGTGCTGGCAAGTCAGAGAGGGAGAGGCAGCGCCGGCCTCTCTCCATCTCGCACGCACCACGCCATTTCCCCCCGGGGTCACCCTGAGGCAGAGGACGGTGGCAGGGAAGGTCTCGCTCTGCAGGCCGCCGTCCGCTGTTCACGGGGACACAAGGCTGCTGCTCGGAAGAGCCGTTCCAAGGACAAGAGTCCCCTTCCCAGCCCTGCTGGGGCTCGTCCACCCCCTTGTGCTGCAGCTGAGGCCCTGGGCCCCACACACGGGAGGGCAGCCTTCCCTGCGAGCAGCCCCACCTCACGCCCGGAACCAGCCCTCACTCCACCCGGTCCTGCCAGCAGGAAGGTCCCAGCACAGCCGTGCAGGAGCCAGTGGTCATCATGCACACACGTGCACACGACACACACACGACACCCAGATCACACACATGAATACGGACAATACACACGCCCATGTGCACACGACACACACGCAACACGCAGATATACACAGATGAATACAGACAACAAGCACAGACACGTGTGCACACACCCACATATGCACACGACACACACACAACACAGATACACACAGATGAATACGGACAACCCGCACAGACATGTGGGCACACATCCACATGTACACACACATGCACACGACATACAGATGCACACAGATGAATACAGACAACAAGCACAGACACATGTGCACACACCCACATATGCACACGACACACACACAACACAGATACACACAGATGAATACGGACAACCCGCACAGACATGTGGGCACACATCCACATGTACACACACATGCACACGACATACAGATGCACACAGATGAATACAGACAACACGCACACACACGTGCACACAACATACCAATACACACACACACAGAGCAATGTTTCCCAAGGGAGGGAAAACTCGACATAACAGATTGTGACGATCTAGAATAAGTAACTGCCATCCAAATGGTTTGCTTTCCAAAGGAATTGAGGAGGTGCCCTGCCTTTGCTTGAGCAGCGCAGAGCCGAGCCCTCAGCAGGGTGTCCTGTTCAAGTGCCCATCTCTGCTTCTCTTTAAGACGATTCTAGAAGACGTGACCCCGAGGCCCCTTCCAGCACACACAGCCTGGCCAGATGGCACAGGAGCCCGTCCAGGCAGAGGGCAGAAATGGGAGGCCACCTCTCACAAAGTACTTGAGAAAATGAGTCGGTATTTCAGTGCAAGCTTGAAGTGTCAGCTGCTGGGGGCTCCTCTAAAACCACAAGTAAAAACACCATCTACAGCTCAAGAGTCTCAGGTTTTAAGCTGGCTTTGATTCGTGCTCTGTGGTTTGAGCTCGAGACAAAATACCTTCTCCCCACCCAGTTACACAACTACTGCAAACTGACGGAATTTGCTATCCACAGGGTAGCAACTCCTGACACCCGCTGGTGGGGTGAACTCTGTCGGGAGGTGCGGGCACAGAAAGAGGGGGTGCGGGAACTGCGTGAGAAACGGCGCGGACCGTGAGCTGCCCCCTCCACACTGCGTGTAACCACTGAAATGCAGGCAACTTCCGAACTAATAATGAAGAAATGCCTGAATAGTGAACACTATAATGCAACAGCAAAATCATACGTGGGCATGACTGCACACACATCTGCACACACGTGTGCACGTGGGCAGCCATGTGCTTCCATTGCTTGAAGAAGACACAACGGCTTTACAAAGCACAGCATCAAAAGCCAGAGTCATTGGTGTGATGACGTGAAAATGGGGCGGCCCACGTGCCGTCTGCCGGGTACACACTGTGGGCGCAGGGTCCCTCGATATGTGCAGGTCAGAATGGGGAGAGGGCCGAGCAGCCTGTCCCTGAGGCCCCTTCCCCTCTGAAGGAGGACTGTCCCAATACTGTCCCTGGACTGCTTTTCTGGACTTTCAACCGGCATAGAGGCCTTGGAGGTGCAGACCCTCGTCACCTGCTCCCTGGGGGCCACCGCGTCCCCGTGCCCCGCGCTCTGGGCTGCAGGTCGGAGGCTGGGGCCACAGAGCTGAAGGGCTCTGTTTTGTGGAAAACGGTCCCCAAGCTCAGGCTCCTGGGTCAGGAACTGGGTGACAGACAGGCTGGCTGCCGGCTGGCCTCCCGCCCCCCAGGCACCAGGAATGCCTCCTCGCGTGTCTCCGGGTGAAGACAGGCCAGGGTGAGGGCACCCCCGCTCCTCCCACCTGACAGGCACCGGGGGCCAGACACCGACCCTCTACTCACTCAGTCCCGGTCACGATGTAGCCGTGGTCCTCCTGGGCAGGCTGGACCTCCAGCCGCAGGCCTTCCCCGGCACGTCCCTGGGCTCCGGCCGCGAGGCGGGCATCTTCCAGCGAGGGCCGGGGAACCCGGGGCTGGAACTCGCCAAAGCCGCGCATCCCGGGCGCTGCGGGAGGCGGCCTCTGCAGCCGCTCCTTGGAGTAGGTCTGACTCCTCACGTCCTCCACCCCGGCGCTCTCCTCCTCCCAAGTCGCAGGGGTCTCGGGGGCCTCCGACTTCTTTGCCTCCATTTTGAAGGGCTCCGTAGGAGGCAGGATGGCAGGAGAGAGGTGGGAGCCAGGATCCTGCAGGCGGTCCCCAAGTTCAAGGCTCGAACGACTGACCTGGCAGAAAGGAGGCTCCGTGAGATGAAGTGTAGGGGTGGGTGGGCAGCCTCAGGGGGAGGGGTAGCACCATCACAGCTGCGCTCAGAATCACATCCAGGCAAGACACGGTCCGCCGGGGGCGGGGGCGGGGGGTGACCAGGGCCTCGCACACCAGCACCACTCACAGCACATCTGTCTCTGGTTCACTTTCTCTGTCTTGGTCTCTTCCTCTCTGGTCCCATCTCTGTCTCTCTGTCTCTGTCTCTGTCTCTGGTAGTTCTCTCTCTTTCACATACACATACACCTTCCTAAAGAATCTGCTGTTACGAAATCAGTGTAGGTGTCTGGCATCTGAATTTTTAAAAAGAGCACATGTGGATTCCGAGACCCCAGCCTACCCCTCTGGAAACTATGGGCCTCTGACGGTAACAGTGCTATTTGCATTTGCAGAGCTCTTACGATGCACCAACCTCCGTCTCAGACACCTGGTCCAATCAGCTCCCGAGTCCTCACGATGCCCTGTGAGTCAGGACCTGTCACGCTCGCCCCCATTTCACAGGGAAGTGGAGACAGCAGGACTAAGCTGTCACGGGGACATGTAACTGTACCCTCACAACATCTGGGGGGGCCTGGGTCCTCTTATGCACAGGCTCGCCCACCCTGACCCCCATTTCCTGGACAGGAAGGCCCTCAGAACCACTTAATTGACATCTCGACAGATGAACATTATCTTCCACACTCAGCGCTGATTACATGCCAGACACTGTGCTCAACGCTCTGTGCACGTTCTCTCATTTAATCGTCACCCAACCTGGGAATACAGTCCGAGTCTCATCTCCCGTCTGTAGACTCTGAGGCTTACAGCGGTTCACAATTTGCCCGAGATCACCAAGGCACTGACTGGCAGATCGAGAATTTGAGCACAGCCCTAACTGATGTCAGAGCTGCCGCCACTGGGCCACCCTGCCCTCTCAGACTCCAGCCTGCTGCCAAGGGAAGTGAATGGCCACTCCCGCTGCTGGCACACAAGGAGTCAGAGCACGCCTAGGGCACCTCCTACCACGTACGAGAGCAGGAGACTCGTGCTCATTCTGCAAAGTATCTCCTTTTTCCCCACAAAATGACCTCTCCCGTATTATACTAGATGGAAAGGGGGCAGTGGATTTACTTTACATTCCTATTCTCTCCTTAACTAAAAACTGTACATAATTTTTTTCCTTTTGTGTTTTGAAATATTTAAAGAAAAAAGTATTTTGGTAAAAACATTTGCTCAAATTTGGATCCTGAATGGTGATAATACATAGTATTTCAGTTACCAAGTAGGGATGGAGCACTCTCCTCAGCCTTTTGAAGGGAAGAGAATGATGTTTTTGCTTAAACTGCATTCCGTGAGAAGAGGAAACAAAAGATGCTAATAAATCAGAGCTCAGAAAATACAACACTCAAATACCCTTTGGAAAAAATTGCTTGAAAACATACCCCAAGTAACAGAGCAATGAATCAAAATTCAACTTGTTTGGGATGGAAACGTAGGGGTATAAGGACCCTGGGGTCTTCACAGAGTCAATGTGGACTGAAGTGTGTGCTGGGGAGACCCAGCAGCCTTGGCTTTGGCCAAGCTCGGCCACTGCTGTAAACTTCCCACCCTCCCCAAGTCAAGAAACATGTTCTTAGGCCCACGTCTCCCTCCTCAACTGACACAAACTATCCCCCATTTCTGATGGACATTTAAGAGAACTGTGGATATTTTCTTCTGTTACTTGCTAACAGGCATTGAACCAAAAACCACTGAGATAATCTGGAAAGAGAAGTACTAACCAAAAATTTTTTTTCACTGTAGAGAAAAAAAAACAACAGAACCACATATCACTGTCATGGCTTACGCACTGATTTTCTGCATCCTTACTTGTACTAATGAGCAAACGTTCTTAAATAGGAACCCCTGGGTGAGTGGGTGTACCTGTGACTAAGCCCTTTCTCAGACTGCCTTCCCGACCAGCGCTGCCCAACAGAACCCTCCGGCAATGAGGGAAAAGTTCTGTCTGCACCAACCAACCCACTCATTACAAAGCAGCACTTGAAATGTGGCTAGCACAACTCAGGAACTGAATTTTTTACTTACTTAATTTTAATGAATTTAAACTTAAATTTAAATAGCCACCATGTGGCTGGCAGCTACCACGTTAGACAGTGCAGGCCTAAACGGTCCAGGGGCTGTGAAGGTCCCGCTACAGGAAGCTCAGGGATTAGTGCACACAAGACAATGTGAAGGACATAAAGCAGGCATTTGATGTAATCAGTCCAAGTAGGAAAATTCTAAGGAATATTAATTTTCTTATTTGTACTAACCATATTTATCATATTCCTACAATGGGTATTAGTAAATAATCTGAAAATAGATATTAGTATATATCAAAATACACACAATTTTGTTTGTATTCTTCATACTTTTTCCCAGTTTGGGGATCGTGAGAGTTTTTCCACCCTTTTCTGAAAAAAACAAACAAAAAACCCTTTGTATTCACACACGTTCCCAAACCCTGAACAGAGAGATTACCAGCCCAGCTCTAGACCTGAGGTGAAGCAAGCACGCAGAGACACTCCATCTCACCTCTTCATAAACTCCGCCTCCACCGCCCGGCACTCTGTCACCTGCGGAAGACACAGCATTATCAGAAGCCTTGTCAAGAATGTCATCACAGGTGATGCCCACACCAAAGGACCAGAGAGTCCTTCACAGAAGATCGGGCATAATGATGTCAGCCTAATTTCTACTATAAAGTAGACTTTTTCTATTCATTGTACAACATTAGCTTTCTGCAAGCTTCACGGAAGAGGAGGGGTGTCCCAGCTAAACACAGACGTGCAGTACAAATTGCATTACCAGCCTTGTGGGTCTGTGTGTCGTCCTCAGAGGTAGATTGCAGCAAGAACACCAGTGGTAACAGCACTTAATAGTCACAGAAAAGCAAAAGAAAAAGCCACGTGGAGGTGGCTTCAGAGCTCATTACTTTCTGGCGATAGTCGTTTCTCTAAACACCCTACCGGCAATGCCCGACGGTGCATAACTGGGGAGCTCGTGAAGCCCCAGAGTCCAGGCACCTTCTAGACCCCTCCCCACCCTCAGAAAGGCAGCTGCTGCCTTATTTGCAGGCTGCCTAACGCCAGCCTCGTCCTGCCGGCGCTGTGGAGCTCGGATTCCTGCCTCCTGGCACAACCCACAGAGCACAGACACGTGTACCTCTTCACTCGCTCTCGAGAAGCAGTCAGGCACAGATAAGGCCGATCGTCAGGGGAGGCGAAGCCTGTCCTGCTCAGCCCTTAGCCCGAGGGTTCCAGCTGCGGTGCGTGTGCATGCGTATGTGTACACACACGTGTGCATGCATGTGTGGTGTGTGTGTGCATGTGAGTGTGGGTGTGTGCACATATGTGAGTGCACATGTGTGGGCATGAGTGTATGTGTGCGTGTGTGTGGTGCACGTGTGTGTGCATGCATGTGAGTGCGTGTGTATTGTGTGTGCACGTGCATGTGCATATGTGTGCACACACATGCACGTGCACTGGGAGGGTGGGGGTATCTGTGCTCTCTCCCTGGTGCAGCCTCAGAGGGTGGCTGTGAGCCTCAAGCAGACATTTGAATGAAGCCTTTTTGCTGTATTATTCAAATATTTGACTCTGTTCACCCACACAATCCAAACAAAAACACTTTTTATCAGTCCCGTTTTTTTCTAACTCGGAACCTCAGCACAGAGAGCAATTGCCTTTCAACATAATTGCTCCGGTACGGCTTAGCCCGTTAAGAAAGCTTTTAGAGGCAAAAGTTCAAACAGAGAAAAATCGTTACTCCAAATCCACATCTCCTCAGCAGAAGGAACGTTTAACGGCCTGGTGGGGCCAGGCCTCTGCACCCCCCATCCCGCCCCACGACCCCACAACCCTGAGCCCGGGGCTGGGGGGCTCACCTGGCACGCCTGCACCCCCATCCCGCCCCACGACCCCACAAGCCTGAGCCCGGGGCTGGGGGGCTCACCTGGCACGCCTGCACCCCCATCCCACCCCACGACCCCACAAGCCTGAGCCCGGGGCTGGGGGGCTCACCTGGCACGCCTGCACCCCCATCCCGCCCCACGACCCCACAAGCCTGAGCCCGGGGCTGGGGGGCTCACCTGGCACGCCTGCACCCCCATCCCGCCCCACGACCCCACAAGCCTGAGCCCGGGGCTGGGGGCTCACCTGGCACGCCTGCACCTGGCTGGCCAACGCTGGGCTCTCTCGGCTCTCCTGTGGCTCCTTTCTCGACACCTCGCGGCTCCCCTTCTGCCTCCACAGCCTGCACGGCGGAGGCGATCACCCGGGCCATCTCGTCGAGGTCCGGCTGCTGTCCTAGGTCCTTCAATAGGCTCTGGATAAGCGTTTCTGGGGGGCACACACAGGAACAAGCACAGGAGACACCAAGGAGGAGCGGTCAGTGCTGGGACGAGGGGATGAGCGAGCGATCCCACAGGGCCCCGTGGGCCCCCAGCAGGCGCGGCAGAGCAGCGGGGCTCCAAGCGGAGCAGTGCCAGCTGTGTAAGTGAAGAGCACGGTGTCTGCGATTCAGAACTCACTGCTCGGGCCTGGCAGCAGACTGGACAGTGGGGAGCAAGGGGTCAGTGAGTCTCCGGAGAGACAACAGAAACTGCTATTCTCTGAAGAACAGAGTAAAAATTGAAAAAGACTGAGTGGAACCTCAGTGACCTTCAGAGCCACCTTAGGCACGACAGAAGGAAAGGGGAGAGAGAAGGACCGAAAAACCTCAAGGGGAAGGAAAAACCCTCCAGCAATTTCCCAAAATTGGTGAAAAGCATTAACTTTGAAAGCCAAGGCACCCAGCAAACCCCAGGAGCAATCCCAAGAGAGCCACTCAGAGGCATCTCCTGGAAAAGTCAAGGTCAAGATGACCCCCAACGGCCCCCAGAGGCTACGACGCGACGAGACGCAGGCAGCAGCTGACTCGAGGCAAAGGAGGGTGCGAGACACAGTGCGGGTCTGGTAAGAATGATGTCTTTGCATAATTGTAATTAAGTATTTGATAACATACATAGGAAGGATGTATTTGAAGCGTTAAAGAGAAAACTCGTAATTCAGAAGTCTACATCCGGGGAAGCTACCCTTCCAGCACGAGGGTGACGGAAAGACGTGTCCCTACCATCCACGGAGCCAAGCTAATCTGTCGCCAGCAGACCTTCAGGACAGGAAACACTGAGGGGACGGCACCAGCTGGAAACGCGGGCCTGGGAGAAGCACCGGAGTCTCCCGGAAAGGTGGCGGGGTACACAGTCTCCTCCTGATTTCTGTCATTCCAGGAAGAGGTAATCATGCTGAATGCGGGGTTTATAAAACACGTGACGGGAAGCACATGACGCAGAGGGTGACCATGACTGCGCTGTTGTAAGGTTACGACCACACACACATCTTACGGGAGGCGTCCTGACAATTCTAAGTAGACTATTTTCTTTTTTAATTTTTTATTAAATGTTTTATTTATTTCTAGGAGAGAGAGAGAGAGAGAGACAGCGTGAGCAGGGGAGGGTCAGAGAGAGAGGGAGACACAGACTCTGAAACAGGCTCCAGGCTCTGAGCTGGCTGTCAGCACAGAGCCTGACGCGGGGCTCGAACCCACGAACCGCGAGACCATGACCTAAGCGAAAGTCGGACGCTTAGCCGACTAAGCCACCCAGGCGCCCCTAAGTAGACTGTTTTCAACAAAGCTGCCTTCATTCAAAGGCACTTCAATGGAGGAAGAGAAATATTTTTTCAAAAGCTGATCAAACAAAAAGCTCTGACATAACGCTTTTATCCAAAATATACATTTAAAAACTCCTATAACATCAATAATAATAATAATAATAATAATAAAGGGACAAGCCAATAAAAATAAAGGAGTTGAACAGAAACTTCAGAAAACATACAAATGGCCAGCAAGCACGTGGAAGAGTGTCAGCACCGTTCGTAATCATGGAAAGACTAACTAAAACCACGGTCAGCATATTTCGTGCCTGCGAATATGGCTCAACTTTAAAAGACTGAGAACAAATTCTGGGGAGGAAATGGAGCAACATCCCTGGGGGGCGTATAAGGCTTTACAGCTCCCAGGAGACCCTGTGGCATTTACTTATACAGAGAATATGCCCCTTCCATGTACCTAGAAAATGTGGCCAAAAACCTATCTCCATGAAAGATGCATATAAGAGTGTGTTTAGCAGCCTTATTCATAACAGCCACACAAACAAAAAACCTCTAAAGTCCAAAGTCCATCAACAGGAGAACAGATGAACTATCTGTCGTTTATCTGCATGAACAACAATGAACCACAGCCACGTGCACAAATATGGAGGAACCCAAAGGGGAATCTGTTGAGTGAAAGAAGTCAGTCACGTGGTTCTCTCAGTCGGAGGTGAGTCCAGGACCGGGTGGGGCCGATGCGGGGAACGGGGGCTGGGGCAGACTGGGGGCAGGAAGACTCCCTGGGATGATGGGGATGTCTAATGGCACGTTGGTTGCCCGTGCACACGTGTCAGCACACTCATCTGTACACTCGGCATCCATGCACTTAGTAATACCTAAGTCTCAGTAACCACAACGCTTGACGGAGTCGTGTTTCTGACGTGGAGGGTGCCCTGGCTTTGTTCCTGAGTAATTAGTGCTGCTTAGATGTGTCACTGGTTCCTAAGCAAAGGTTCATGCCAGATGGTTATTCTCAGGACTTTGCTCCCTAAGAATGGTGACACGTGAGAGCTCACACTTTCCATGGCCTCACTCAGCAATCCTCTGAACTAAGTTGGGTGGGGATTATTTCCCACTTCTTACAAATTAGGAAATTTAGGCTTTTTGTATTTTTTAACATTTCCATCATTGGGAACTAAACCAGAGCTGCACACTTAATTACGGCAGCACTTTCCCTCTCTTGCCTCCTTCTCGGCACTCATTCAGCGGCCCCCTGCCCTCACACCAACACGGAAGCCAGGCGTCTGCTCTGAAAGGCCCCTTTCAGAAAGAAGAGAGTCCACGGGGACCCCAAATCCACTCCACAGCCTGTCCTTCCATCACAGTGACAACAAGGGAATCCTTACAGAAACCGCATCTCGAAAACCCTGCAGTTTTCACCACGTGCAGACCCGGCCACTCGTGCAACACAGGGACAGACGGACGCAGGCACACGGCGTTGAGGGAGCGGCGGGCACAGCAGCTGGCCCAGGAGGGAGGAAAGAGCACAGAGGCCTCCCCCGTGGAGGTGGTCAGGAGCACAGGGCCAGGCCGTGTCTGCTTTCTGTGTGGACCGGTCAGCACAGGCAACTGCCCGATGTCGGCCGTGAACCCCACTGCTGGGGGCAGTGGCTTCCTGTCCACTTTCTCAGCCACATAATTCGGGAATCTGCAGGGGTTTTCTCCTTTCTTGGCAGTATCTGTGGCCGAGACTTTGGTTTCTAAGAGTGCACTTAAAATTCTCATCGGTCACTATGTGTTCCCCCGGGGGCTGCCGAGCCAGACTCGCATGAAGGAAAGTTGACTCCTTCCTGGGGGGTGGGCGGTTGGGGTCGTGCACTCTGCCACTTGGGAGAAAGAGCACTACACGTGGCCAGGACTGCTTCCGGGAGCCGAGAGCTGACGGGCGGCACACACGGCTCCCGGCTGGCACCCCAGGGTGCGGTCAGCCAAGCCCCTTACTCTTCCTGGTGCGCAGTTCCCTTCCGTGTAAAACGGGGACAAGTGAGCCAGGCCTGTGAATCACTTACCCGGGGCGGCACCACGAGTGAGTGACATCTCTAAGTATGACCGTGACAAGGAGCTGACAGTCATGAGTCCCGCAGCCCCCACTGCTTTTCACCCCTCACACCCCACTGTAAACACAGAGGCCGGGGCGTCTGTGCTGAGCTCTGGCTACGGTTCAGCGTCTTCGCAAGCAACAAGCAGAGAACACACTGTCGGTGCCCCAGAACGCTTGGCTGTGCCAGGCGATGCTGCCTCCTGGCTGGTTCAACATTCACTTTGAGGTTATGCTTTGTGAGCCGGTTCTTTGCCAAAGTCTTAACGTACATATAAAAACATGTGAAACTCAGTTATTAAAGTCCGACCCCAGGCTCCGTCCATCCACTCTCCAACCCACCCACCTACCCTCTCATCCACCCACCCACACATGCACCCACCCATCCACTCCCCCACCCACTCCCCCACCCACCCTCCCATCCATTCACCTAGTCACTTCACTAACTGGTACTGGGCACCCCTTGTGTTCGGGACCTGGGAACAGGAATCACCATGAGGAAGGACAGAGAATTAAAGGCACGGTTGCTTCAGAGCTACAACAGGATTCACACGCACAGCCAGAGGGACTTGACGACTGGACAGTATTAAGCAAACTCAACATATGGGACAGACCAACTGTAGAGGCCCTACAAGAACTTCAAATGACAGCACGACTCAAAAAGTGATCCCGTTCGGGGCGCCTGGGTGGCTTAGTCGGTTAAGCGTCCGACTTTCGCTCAGGTCATGATCTCGCGGTTCGTGGGTTCGAGCCCTGTGTCGGGCTCTGTGCTGACTGCCAGCTCAGAGCCTGGAGCCTGTTTCAGTCTGTGACTCCCTCTCTCTCTGACCCTCCCCTGCTCACACTGTCTCTCTCTCTCTCTCTCTCTCCTAGAAATAAATAAAACATTAAAAAAAATTAAAAAAAAAAAAGTGACTCCATTCTCCTCCCAAAACAGGCAAGTATTTGAGCTGACACGCTCCCCAAACTGTCACTTATTACCCCATCTGCCGGCAAATGTCTTTCCTGAAATTCAACCAACCTCCAAACTTTAAATCTACTTGTAAATCACTTCCTACATTTTACCCTCAGAAACTAACAATTAAATTGACAAACTTACATCTGACAAATGTCACTATAAAACTTTTAAACTATAAAAATATAAAACTTAATTTTTGCTAAAAATGTTTTTAAATTTTTTATTATTTTTAATTTCTAATGAAGGCAACCCAATTAATTTACTCATTTTTAAAACAGATAAACCCAGATTATATCTTTTGGGAAAAAATATGATGTATAAATTTTGGGGTCTCAGTTACCCTGAGCAAACTTTTCATTAAAAATGTCAAGAGTATATTTTAAATAGAAAATTAATAAAATACATGACAAAAGAACCAAAACTAAAAAGTAAGCACCAGTCTTTGACTTTGCTGCTTATTATGCCTCTGACAGTATAGACACACCCACTCTAAGCGGTCTGTCTGCAGGGCTGCGGTGACGGCATAAAAGGGGAGAAAGGGCAAGCGCCTAACAGCAGGAGCCAGGCTGCAGGGACGCGGCCTGTCACGGCGCTCTGTGGCTCCCTGCGCACACGGTCCCTGTGCGCATGGTCCCTGTGCACACCACCCACCAA